ACTTTAGTAAATAGTTGTTTGCGCGAATTCACAACATTTTTACATCATTCAAACCCCTATAGGATTAACATACGATTAGATTACAAAAGTCGATAAAGTTTGCTAACCATATTTATTTATATTAACCTCACTTTAAAAACATATACTGGAAAAATATGTTAAAAAGGTCACTATGTAAATGGGAAGTTATTTAATCTATAAATCTTAATGATAGTATAAAGATTAAAGCCAAATATATTTCGTTAACTAAATGACTATTTTTTTATAGGAAGTAGATTGAAAGAAAGTAAGAGACCGAAGCAAAGAAAAAAAAGAATGATAGAAGAGTAAAACTCTTAAATGAAGTCATTTAATACACTTGAAAAATGAATTAATAATTTAATGGAACACTAAATGATACAATATAACCCGAAAATTAATCTATAAACAATCATTCATCATTTGTTTATCTTTTATAATCATGTTAATTTAATTCATAATTTATAGAATAGGAATATGTTGTAGCTTGAAGACAGGAAAAAGCAGGCCATCTATTAAATCATTTACATATTATCTGGCGTATTCAATATGATTGAAGAGTTTCTTTGTTTTATTTGAACAGGTTTAAACTTGCTTGTAACATAATACTATATATATATATATATCGTTTAAAAAATGTCCTACCGACTACTGATAGTAGTAGAACTCTCACTTTTAAAAATACTTATTTTACCTGTCGATCACTTTTAACAATTGTTCAACACAAACATCTTGATTATTTATTTTAGTATCGTTATTACGAGCATGAATTATTTACTGATCTAAATGAGCTCTGTTATCGATTCACTCAAGCTCATATTTGTTTATAACTGAACTAGTAGGTACATACTACTAAGTTAACTAGGCTTATATATATACATTTAATTCAGTTTCCAATTTATCTGATCTTCGAATTTCATATAAACTTGGTGTGGTAACCAAAAATTAATATGAGAATTTTCTTACTAGTTGTTTTCTTCTTGGTATTAACTAATGGTTGTTGTTTACATCCTAAATTGTTGTTTATCTTTTTTTGTAACGGATTATTTCTCTTATTTTCATTTTATGTGTACGTGTGTGCATTTTTGTTTTTGTGTATAGTTGTATGAATATGTATATGTTTTTATATTGTGTTTGTAAAGATCTAGTTGTTTACCTATTTACCTCCTAAATTCAGGACGATAAAACGTGTCTAATTTATAATATAGAATTCTATCGGATTATATTAGAACTAACATTCTTTGTTCAATATGTTTGGAAGTAGTAGTAATTCGTACAGTTTACTGGACAGTATCACGTTCAGTTTCTATCATAAATTCTAAAGTTTCTAAGTGTTAAATTTTTTTCACTTTTAAGATAGTGATTTACAAAACAAAGAATAGATTTTTGACTCAAGTTTAATATCAAGAATAATACTACTGTAAACGGACAAATCGTCCATAAGTAGTATATTTTCATTATCATAAATAACTACATTGTTTAATTTACTGCAAAAATATATAAAAAGAAAATGTATCTTTCTGAAGTGGGATAATTAGACAATTCATAGATCGGTAAGCTAAAAATTGAATCACAGACGTTTCCTATTGTATAGTTAAGGGATTGGATGTTTCATATATCAACTCATTCGTTGCCACGTCATAATAATATCGTAAGTTTCAGTAAGTATATATGCCACAAAGAAAATTATGTATTCCAATGCATTAACTTGTCTACCTGTAACCGGTTTCTAATCATAATGGTAACTGGTTGTTCTCAGTATTTTCGGTATTGGTTTTAGAACATACTGAAAACGTAAATATTGCTTAGATTTCATTGTTTTTAAAAAGTGTTTACATGACCTATTAACCCTTAAAAATATTCTTAAGAAGACTGTTACTTCAAGTATGACTGTTAACTTGTTAAGTCAAACAAAAATAAGGTGGTTTCTGATTAAGTTGATGACATTTAAAACTGCGGAAAATGTATAAATTAGACTAGAGGGAGAAGATGGATATTCATTCAACGTAAAAAATGTTTTCATTGAAGATTATCATCAGAGGGTGATTTATTGAATATCAGAGAGCGGATCTTAATAATTGCTTTATTCTAGTAATTAAGGATTGAACAACCACATTGGGGGAATATTGACTCAAGAATCTAGATTGTATCATTCGCATACCAAGTCATAGTCTTACGGTTCACGCCCACAAATGCCGTAGTACGGCTGAGGGTGGGAAGAGTCCTCTCTATCACTTGAAATATCCTCACATGGCCACGCGTATACAGCCACTGTCAGGGAAGTTCTACTCACTGCCTTCTCGTGAAGGGGGTGTTTTTTACGAAATTGAGAGGACACAAAGTGAATGTCCGGCGCTTCAACCGGGTTGATGGATGTGGATGATCCACCTGGGGGGGTTGAAAAGCTCTGATTCCAAACCAATGCTGTACATGGGCTCTAGTACCTGAGGGAGCAAAAGGCGTGTGAACCAATTGTTGGTCATCGGCTACCATGGGACTGCATCTCCTGATGTTGCTCCATTGCCTTGTGAACTAGACCTGTAGGTCAAAGGCTCGGGATATGGCCCTCTAAGAAAACCACCTGTTTCGGTTTAGGCTCCCGGTCAGTATCACAGCCTACACACAAACTGCTACTGACCCCATTGTTATTGTGTGGCGAATATGTATTTGGTGTCTTTTTGTATCAATGTTTTTGTGTGTTCAAATAAATAAATTTACCGTTCATAGTATCCTGTTTTTTTTTGTAATTTTGGACTACAGAAGAAATATTATTTAATAGAAAGGCGTCTTGTAGCAATAACTTTTGTTTATCAAACAAGAAACTATCATTTCAAAATATGTTCTCCATAAAAAGACCTAAAAGTAAACTTTACTTTGAGAAATCAATCACAAACGGCTGATTTATTTAAATATCTCATAATTGATATCATCATTTCTAAACCAAAAGGTATATATATATATAAAGAAAATTAATTTGATGGACATTATATCAAACAATTTTTTTATTTATTTAAGAGTTTGCATATGACTAATGCATTTAAAGTGTATATTAATGATCTATTCATTATTTGTAAATCCTGATAAAGGACAATTATTAATGTCCAATAATAAGTACATACCTGGATCATATTATTATATAAAAATATTTTAAATCTCATATGAGATCAGTTTCTAATTTATAATAAATATAGTATTTACAAACATTGATTTAACCATATACGAGCACGTATATTGGGTAATAATAATAATCATTTGGAGTGAATTGTTTAATTGGATTTTGAACAAGTTTTACACATTTTTGTATTTATTGTTATTATGTTTAGCAAATGTTAGAATATTAATTTTAATAATGCATGATTATTGGAAATGTTTCATAAGTATCTAATGTTTTTGTGCATTTTAATATAGATCTATTCAATGTACTTTATTAATGAATCATAATTTGACTAATAGTAAATACTTCAGGTTAGATGCAGGGTATTAGGGAATGATGGTAAATCAATTGATAAGGTTGTGAATCTTCATCGACTGAGATGGTTGGGCCAAGTGTTACGTATGCCTGAACACCGATCACCACGACGTGCAATGCTAACCGGTGTTGGAGTTGGTTGGCAGAAAGTTAGGGGCGGCCAAACCAAAACGTGGCATCAGTGCCTGAAGTCACTAACTTCTAATCTGACCCATGCTGGTAGATGCAGACTACTTGGTTGGGGTCCGCGTGACTTTCGTAACCAATGGTTGGAGACTCTTTGTGACATTGCTCAGAATCGATCACAATGGCATCGGTGCATACACTCTCTGTCTTCCCTTAAACTAAGAGATTAAATTCGCTTCATATCATTCTTTCTACGAACTAATTCTTTCTTCCTGTACTATATCCTTATATGCTATCTTTCTTCTAGATATTACTACCACTGAATTAACTACTTCTGTGTATTTGGTGTTCATCTTGTTGTGTTAATGAGGTATGGCAACTTGGACCGATGCATATATGTGCCTGGTCCTATGTTGTAGCTGACTGACTGAAATACTTCAGAAGTTTTATAACATACAAATTTTTCTACTAAGTGTTATAAGCTTTACAACCTACAATTCAAGATATCAATGCATTGAATCATTATCCTACTGAGCGATGATCTTATATTAGAAGTGAACGGTTGATGTGTTGTGTTTCCAACTGGTACATCTATCGTGTTGATTTACAGATGGATCCAGTGAGTAAATAATCTGTTTTCAATCAAACAATAATCTCAGAAATACTAATTTTGAGCAAAGATTAAAAAATGCTACTCATTGGGTTATTAATAAATTTTGGCAATTTAACCGTCAAACATTAGTCTCTTATCTGTCATTGGATTATCGATCTGTATCATAAGATTAATACAGCTGATATCTGAGATGTTGGAATTTTATTTTGACGATTTCATATCACAATTCTTATGGAAGTTTTCAAGCATATGGTTTATATAATGGACCACTCACCTCACCTTTTAAATCATATTCTCAACATAGATAACAAAAATAGTCGAATACCGTATTCTATTGGTGGTCAGATTAACTATATATGTTATTTGTTCGTTGCTTATCTAGGAACTGTTTACTGCTGGTTTTAAATCATGTTTTCTTCACTCTGCTTATAAGTTTGCCTTCGGTACTTTTGAGATTAATAATTGATTAGGTCCTGTTTATCATAGTCACCATGTTGTAAATAACTTGAACCAATTAATATAGTTATATGATCTTCAATGAGACATTATTATCCCATCATCAAAGTAGATCTTAGTTTCTAAAATCGACTATTATTTTTATAGAAAAACATGTCTTTAGTAATTACCAAACACTGAGTTTCCCATGATTTTCACATTGACCAAATTAAGTGACATTTTACACTAGCTGTACCGTCTCTAGCTAATTTATTTTGATTGCTAGTAGAGAACGAACTTAAAAAGCGTCTTAATTTTCATGTATTTCACACATTTTAGCCGTATGAATTTGACAGTTTGGAAAATATTCTACCACTTCAACGCCAACAAAATCATCATCTTGATTCCACATGTCGACGCTCAGATTACTCTAGTGAGAATATTAGCAGTGTCAGTGGTTCCAATTATGATAGAATGAATTTATAGCTCATGAAAATAATGCTGAAGAACAACACCCTACAGAAACTTTAACACCAACACGTATATTTAAAGTGATTTTAGTCGGGGATTCAGGTGTTGGCAAATCTAGTTTCTCATATCGATTTTGTGATGGAATATTTTATCCACAACTTAGAGCTACTTTAGGTAAGTTTAATAAATAGTTTTAACAATTTCAAGGAGAAATAAGTAACTTTTTTGTTATCAACATTTACCGTTCCTGTATTTCATTAAAATAACTATTCTGAGTTTTTCAATGATTATGATTCGGAAGGGGTTTCGTGGAGATTTTAGAAATTTTCACTGATTGAAATCATGAGTCAATTGAAGCGCCTGGCGCGAGACTGATAGGTCCTGGGTTTGAATCTCGCGGGGTGCGGGATCGTGAATGTGCACTGCTGAGGAGTCCCATACTAGGATGAAACGGCGATTCAGTACTTCCAGATTATGATTCAGTTAGTGAAACGTACTTCCAAGATGAAATTTGAATAATAAATTGTAGAAAGCAGTTAATTTAATCTAGAAGTTATTTACAAATGAACCATGTAAATTTGTTATGACGGGATAAAAAGTCAAAATTAGATTGATTTACTCATTATGATTTCTATTCAACATTAATCCCATTTAATTCAATTTGTTGATGACTCAGGATAATATTTGTGTCGTTTTCTCCTATGACATTTTATTCTGTATATTCTTGTATGAAGTATGTTTCATATTATATGTGATTTATTCTGATTATTAATCAAAAAATGAGTGTACAAACCAATATATAAATGAATGTATTTCCGACTAGACTTGTCGTGTTTGTTCGTGCTTCTGGCTGCTTGCTGTATATATTTCCCCGTTGCGAACTTGGACTTCTCTCTCTAGTTAGCGGGGTTGGGAAGCATCAGAATAGCTAGGTTACTGGTCTTTTGTCACAGAGTCTTTGTTCCGTTCGCATACTAGGTGACCTCATATTCGCTTCAAACATAGCAGAATCATATTTGGAAAAAATATAATTGTTAATTTTTCTTACCATCAGGACTAATTCATCAAAGCTTTTTGCAGAGAATAAATCAAATTATAATTTAAGTATAATCGACAAAAGCTTATATTAAGGGAGGGTTTTTGAAAAACTATCATTTCCTATCCATTCATCAAGCTATTGTTGACCTTATTCATGAGGCTGGTTTTCTTTCGAAAAGAACAAATAAGTGGTTGTTTATCCATTAGATATTCACATGAACCCCAACCAAATAGTCTACACCTATTGACATAGCTCAATTCAATTGTTAATGAATTCATGGACTGATGCCATGTTTTAGTTTGGCGGCTCCTAGCTTTCTTGCAGCCTACACTTACATCAGACAACATCGCTCGTCGAGATAGGCGGTGGTTGGGCGTACGTAAGAAATGTCTCACCACCTCAACTGACGAAGATTTATTAACTTATCAATGGATTTGGTGAGTGCACTCGACACTTGAAAAAATAATAATCCCTAATCTCAAATATTTATTAGTATTGCATATTTTTGAAGACATATAAAGTAACACAAAACAACTGATCTGTTCTCGATAGATTTTAAGTGCTATACATCTTAGATTAGTATTTTCAGTATTTTCGTCAGCCGTAGACAAATTATAACTAGTCAATCACTTGGTAATGATTACTGTCATATTTGTTTAGTTTTTTAATACCGATCGAATATCTGTCGACCAAGTTGTAATGTAGACACAAGTCTAAGTGACTCGATATCATATCCATTATATTGAAATGTTAGGTGTTTCTGATGGGTGTTAAATAGCACGAAACTTAGATCCATGGTTTTCTATCGACTACCTTCAATTATCTACACATGGATCAAGTAATTTATCAAATAACATTTTTATCATCTTTTTTTCAAATTACTATATAGTTTGGATTGTATAAAAGAAAGCTATAATCTAGCAATAATATCAAAATTTATGTTTAAAAGTTATTTTGTTTCAATTAGTTGTTAATCGTTCTTTTTCTATTAAAGGAGTTGATTTTCGAACAAAAAATATTAAAATGAATAATTCAGTGTACACTATTCAGTTATGGGATACTGCTGGACAAGAGACGTAAGTTGTAAACTATTAAGAAGTAAAAAAAATGTAATTCATTTATGTAGTTATATTTATTAGTTGAAGCAGTTGATCTGTTGATGTTGTAAATTAAATACGTATATCAGGTTGTTGTTTAATCGATTTCAACTCCTACCCATTTTAATGTATTCAAACGTGACTATTAACCTGTTAGGTAAACGACATATATAACATCATTTTCAATGTCTTTTTAATCAGTTAGAGATTATTGATGAAATTCATGGTTATTGAATAAATAAATCTTCATTTGCATTCAAGATTATTTTTATTAGGATGAAGATTAACTAGACAGTTATAGTGAAAAGTTCCACTGGATTAATGGAAAATACTAGAAAATTCTCATTATTTAGGTATTAAAATTTTATTCAAGCAAAAGGTTTTTCACTACATTCTCAATGTTCTGATAGATATACTAACTGATCTGAGATTATTGAAGATGACCATTCCGATAGCTTATTAGTTTCATTTGTCATCTTCAATATATGTATATTTACAAAAAGATTTATTTTTTTTTAGGTACAAACGGTTACAACTATTTTCTTAGTGTCACTGATACTTATTCACTATGACAGACTTTCATGGTTTATCTACTTTCGGTGATTTATTGTCAAAATAAAATAAAATTTCACGTCATTTTTCTTCATATATCAAAATGTCCTTTTTGAAAGACTTGTTAATCTGTTGTTTAAACAAATGACAGCTCATCAAAAGAATAATTTAACGATAGTCAATCTAAAAAAGATGGTATTATTAGCTCATTATTTAGTGCCGGTTGTTAACTACTCTTTAATTACAATTCTAATAGTTCTTAATTGAGAACAATAATAAAATTATATCAATTATTTTTTTACATAATTATTTTCAATGTTAATTATCCAAACATAAATTATTCGCTTATGATATCGTGTAGCGATCGAGTGAACGATGTTGTGGTTGGGCATATGGTACTTGGCAAGGTTTGCAAATCAGTTGATAAGGTAAATCCTCACTGACTGAGGTGGGTAGGACATGTGTTATGTATACTGAACTATCATCTAACTTGACGAGTGATATTGATTGATGTCGAAATGGTTTGGAAGAGGGCCAGTAGCTTTTAAACCAAAATGTGACGTCAATCCATGAAATCACTGAGTGTAGGCCTGAAGTATGTTGGTAGATATAAACTATCAGGTTGGGGTTTGCGTAATAATTGTGATCAGTGGTTGCAGGTGTTAGATGACATGTCTCAGAATCATTAACAATTGTGCAGGTGCGTTCAAACCATGTTTCTGATGTTCTGTCTTTCTGTTTGAAAACGGGTAGGAAATATATTCGACGTGCATTTTCCAGTCATACACCTACCTTTGACTGTGTTCAAAGACTAGAATTATTATGTTTGTTTGACAATGTTAATATCAAAATGTGGATAACCAACTTGCTGAAAGAGAGTATTATACTGTGCTTGGTAGAATGTATCCTACTGCTTTATTAACTCAAGCTGATGCGCAACAAGGAGCTGTTTTTTTTCATTTCCATCCTCTTTTTTTTCTGGATGGTCTACCATCAGAAACGCTTTCTTTAAGTATGCGGATGACATTACTGTATGTACGTCAGTTTCTTCCTTTTCAAATGTACTCGTAATGCATCAGTTTTTTACACTCATTGAACGAAGGTCTTTGTTTATTGATCTTGGATCTAATACATCCAAATTCTGAACCACTAACTTTAGCCTAATGCATAGAAAACACTTAAACACCATGTTAGAATCACATAAAATTTGTGTTATTAGGGGATCTCTAAAAAAACTGTTAAACATTATTTGTTTTAGTATAAGTATTTTTTGACCTATCTTGGTCTTATCATGCCTAGTTAATACCATTGGAGTTTTTTCGCCTAACTTGCTATATGCTCCTGGAATTACCAAACATTTACTTCCATGATCCATAAATTCCTGTATATTAACTCTTATTCCCTTCTGGGCTTTTGAGAAAAGGTTTTGTTGTGTTGTGGAGAATGCTAAGGGGAGTTTGTAAGTAGGGGGTAAGTCTTTTGATATAACGATGAATTTGATTGCTGACAGATATTCAAGATCCTGAAAACTACTGAAAAGTATTATTTTATAAGATATTAATCATCTACTACATACAAATCTTTCTCCTTGTAAGTCTTTTAGTAAAACGAGATGTGGATACCTTAGAATCCATAATTAAAAAGAAAAGTATAGAAGCTCTACAGTACCGTATCTAGCGCATCCACTGTAAGACTGGCAGATTGTGTGAATTAATCTGATCAGAGACTTGTATTCACAGTTGTATAGAATTTCATTTTTTTTAATATTTCATTTTTACATAACTTCTTTACTTATTTCACGTCTATACGTGAAAATATTTTTTATATGAGAAGTGTAAGAGAAACTTGCGAAAATATTTTATGTTGAGAGTTTCATCGTATATTCGGCATATAATATTGAATAAAGCCATTATTAATTGGTGCTGTATCATCTCGATTCCTTTGGTATTTATGTTGTTAGTCTCATTTTATCTTTGTATTGTCGGATAAAAATCTAGGCTAATTCATATTTATGTCAGGCTCTATACTGTTTATTACTGAAACTTATATCTCTTTGACTTTATGAGCAGTTTCTCTATCAGAATACACTTGTGTTTAACAATTCATTAATTATTTGCTGACCAGTTTGATAATGTCTAAGAAAATATGAAAAAAATGCGTCTACTTTATCATTTAGTCAATGGTGAGTGCATAAATAAATTTTATTCTTGATACGTTTCTTTTTATTAGGTATCGTTGTATTGTCCGTTCATATTTTCGCAAAATTGACGGTGTAATTTTAATGTATGCAGTTGATCAACCTGATACATTTGCAAATATCAAATATTGGATGGAAATGATAAAAGTAGGTGGATTTTATCACATCTCTGATTAAAGATTAGTGCTGTCAGAGAATTAGGTAAATACTGCTGATTTTTGTGAAGATCGGATTTTTCAGCATAGAGATCTATTTTTCTACAAATATTTACCAGTCGGTTAGTAACCGTCACATGGATTGTTTGAAAAATGTCAGTATGTGTAACTGGATTACTAGATAGCTAACTTTTTGACATCAGCATACAGGGTTTGTGAATATTGTTCATTATTATCCAGGTCACCAGTGAAAACCAGAGTGAGCTAGATAACTGCTCTGTCCTGGCATATGACTCCTCAATAGTGCTTATTCAAAACCTTACCGGAGATCGAACCCAAGACCTTCAGATCTCAAAACAAGGGCAACTTAATCAACATTCAAAGGTTTTCAGTATCGATTGTAATTATAACTAAACGTGTATTAAAATACTGGTTTTTCTGGTCTTATAAATTAGATGGTCTAATGACGGAAAGTTTTGTTCCCAAAGAGATGTCATGTTAGAAAGACAATTATTTCTCATTGCTTATTATTTATCATTTAATTAACAAATGAAGGTCTATCCATCCTAGATTATAGGAAGTTTGTTCTTTTATTGCACAATTCATGTGCATAAGAGTTCTCATTTGTTTCATATTGTTGGTATATCATATATGATATTACACTGTTCTACCACCAGCTAGAGGTTAGTAAACCAATAAATGACACATTATTTCATACATTTGCTGTTTAACCACTGACATTATTTCAAGCTTTACATTTTAAATAGCATATGCCGTTATTACTTCTTTCCCACGATGTCTCTAGCGATTTAATTTAATCACAAATGAAGAATACTAAGATGGAATGTGGCTAGCAGTGGAATCCAGGATGCTCATTTCGTCCTATTTGGTACTTGTCAGCTTCACATACCTGAATGCCATAGTTGATCTTCACTCCGGAACTAGAACTCAGGCTGGTCAAATTTAGCCGAAATATCAACACTGCGATAATCAAAGTCATTTCAAATTGAATTAGAGGATAAAAATATATCTTTGCTGATAGGTTAACTAGTTATTTAACAAGTGATATCATTCGGAATCACCAAAATGTTTAAAAACACCATATATTTCATCTTATGGACTTTCATGTGGATTTGAGACTTACTACTCGGCAATCAATTTTTATGCTAATAAGTTCTTGTAGAAAATTATATGGATGTTTATATTAGATACAATACTACCTAAATATTCTTATCAGTGTATACTGGATCTAGGAATAGTCATGTTGGAAAGAAATCAAGGTTTGAATCTAAACATGAACTATTATTCATCAACTTGAATCAATGATTTCAAAATCAGTAACCATTTAATATTGTAATAACCATCTAAGTAAATCCAATTTAAACACTAGCTGGTTAAATACTTCATCTTTTTTGGAGTGAATCACGAACCTGGATATGCTCAGTGATCAAGGATAAGTGGAGATTACATTTCAGTCTACAAAAGCAAATAATCTTCAACAGATTATATTGCATAGTAAAATTAAGTATCATATATATATAGTTCGTGTAATCCAAACTATTTTGTTATTGAAACTTTCTGACTGTGTCTACTGAAGCATATGATGTGGTAAATTAACTATTCCACACGTAGTGATATTAGTTGTGGTTGAATACCATATTAATAATTATTGAGAAAAAAATGGAATCATATGATTAAAGTCATATGTACGTGTAACTTTACAAAAATTCGATAAACAATCTTCATTAAATTTATTACTGACAACTTTTTTCAAAAACCTCTTTTTGTTTGATAAAAAGGAATCGACAAGTGAAGAAAATGTTCCAATTCTTCTAGTTGGTAATAAAGTTGATTTACGCAATAGCAGTAGTAACAGTATTAAAGAAAGTTATAATAATATTGATGATATGAAAAAAGATGAATCGCATAAGTACATCACATATGAAATGGGTGCCGATGTAGCTAAAGTAAGTAAGAAGTGTTTCATTCTGCATAACATAATCAGTTTACTCAAAAATCATTGTAAATTAATCGTCTTCCTGTTACTCCCTTGAACTGTTTATTCTGGTTAGCGTCTTATAGAGAGCTTGTTTTCTACGCGATGAGATTGCAGACTCCATGCCCAACTCTCCTGCTTTACCCAGGTTTGCGACCGGCAATAACCCTAGAAGAGTTACCTCTTAATATGTAATAATAGTCGATAAACCGTATTGATGTATTTCCCTTCATGTAATGGTATATATCTCCATTAAGACAGATTATGTATTGACTTAAAATGATTTATATATGTGGTTTCTAGCAGAGAAACATTCGATTATCAAAGTTGTTGACATATATTTGTCAGTACTACTTGTTTATATTCAATTTATCGTATTTTTGAGTTTTTACTAAAATTCTTTTGAAACCTAAGGTGAAAAACTGTTACTACTCCCTTCTTAAATGCCCCTAAAATATTTGATCAAAAAAAAACGCCTATCGGTTATAATAAGAGATTAGTGTAATACATTTTTATCATACATCCATATCAACATTGCCGAAAAGACTGCCGTAAAGTTTCTTCCAATCTATTCATAAGAACTAGATACCGAAAGTGTTTTATCTTTTAATTAAATGATCAAACTATACTGATTAATTAAATAATTTTAATATATATTGTAGAATGTGAATTTGTATTAAATATTTATCATTTTTTCTGATAACCGCATACAGAAAATATTGATTGTGTTAAACATTTTTGCCTCATTCTTTTTCAGTTACATCACGTTTCATTCATTGAAACAAGTGTATTAAGCAAGCATAATATCACAGAAGCTGTTGAACTACTTACGGAGTAAGTTAAATTTAAGAAATATATATATGTAATTTATTGTAAAAACGAGCTCTTAATTAGGAATTGTGACTGATTAATGACGTTTGAGTTGCGACACTTGAATGCCGATAGTTTAGGAATTCAACTTTAAACAATTATAACTTTGTCAAATAACATAAAATATCATCCTTTCAACCGTGTGAATGACATATTGAATTCAGTAAATAATTTAACTGTTCTCTTGAGGAAAGCAAGATATTAAATAACTATTGTTTTTATTCTTCAGAAATAAATGTAAATGAACCAAAAAAATGTTTTCTTCTCAGTAATCTCTAATGACTTTTTTCTACAGTATAACAACTGATAATAAAGCCAATATCAGTCAACTGGTTGTTAATTAGTAGCATTTGTAAATTACAAATAACATATGAAAATAAAAATAACCTAACAAGAATGTTTCTTGAGAATTTGAACAGTTAGACTAGTTTTTTATTCGGATATTGATTGAAGTAATAAATCGAGTGTTAAACGATTTCACAGTGTCCGTGTTCTATAAAATACGAAAACAATAATATATAACACAACTAGTTTTAAGAGAAAACTCCGCCTGGAGTCCCTCCGGGGGCTACTGCCGGTCCCAAGCCCGGATAAAGGAGGAGGGTTGGGCATGGGGTTAGCGACCCCATCCTGTAGAAAACCAACTCTCTAAAAAAACGCTAACCAGAAAAAATTATTCAAACCATTTAAACTCCGCCCGGGGAGTCAGAAGGTCTTCATTTAGAAGAATTATGACGCCTCTTGATGAAAGCCGAATTCCTTCGGAAGTTACGAGGCCGATGCCCCTTCTGACAACCAGAGCAACCATTTATTTAGGTACATGGGATGCTCGTACAATGTGGGAGACTGGGAGAGTCTTCCAAATTGCTGCAGAAATGAGGACATACAACCTAGAGGTGCTTGGGATCAGTGAAACACATTGGACACAAGTTGGACAAAAACGACTAGCTTCAGGGGAGCTTCTGTTATACTCCGGCCATGAAGAAGTAAATGCTCCACATGCACAAGGAGTTGCATTGATGCTGTCCAAACAAGCGCAAAATGTGCTTATAGGATGGGAATCTCATGGACAAAGGATCATCAAAGCCTCGTTCAAAACAAAAAAAGAGGGCATTTCAATGAACATCATCCAATGCTATGCACCTACCAATGACTACAATGAAAACGCTAAAGATCAATTCTACAATAGACCGCAGTCAATCGTCGAGAAGTGCCCAACAAAGGACCTGACTATTCTGATGGGAGATTTCAATGCCAAGGTTGGAACAGACAACACCGGATATGAAGAAATCATGGAACAACACGGACTGGGAGAAAGGAACGAAAATGATGAGAGATTTGCAAACCTATGTGCTTTCAATAAACTGGTCATAGGTGGCACTATATTCCCACATAAGCTCATTCACTAAATCACATGGGCTTCACCGGATCACACTACGCAAAACCAAATCGACCACATCTGCATCAACAAAACGTTCAGGAGGACTATAGAGGACGTGAGAACTAAAAGAGGAGCTGATGTAGCATCAGATCATCACTTGCTGGTCGCCAAGATGAAATCGAAACTTAAGAAGCACTGGACAATGGGGCGGACAATATCACAAAAGTTCAATACGGCTTTCCTTCGGGATACTGACAAACTCAACGAATTCGAGATAGTCCTCAGCAACAAGTTCCAGGCCTTTCATGATCTACTCAATGGAGAGGTGACTAATTTAGAGAGCAACTGGAAAGGGATCAAAGAGGCAATCACTTCAACATGTCATGAGGTCTTAGGCCACAAGATGCACCACCACAAGGAATGGATCATTGTTCATACACTGGACAAGATTCAAGAAAGAAGAACAGAGAGGCAGCAATCAATACAAGAGCAGAGAAAGCTAATGCACAAGCTGAATACACAGAAGTAAACAAACAAGTGAAGAGGAGCATCAGAACCGACAAACGTAAATATGTGGAAGATTTAGCAACGACGGCGGAAAAGGCTGCAAGAGAAGGAAACATGAGACAATTGTATGACACGACAAAGAAACTCTCTGGAAATCGCCGCAAACCAGAACGACCAGTGAAAAGCAAGGAAGGCGAGGTAATCACCAACATTGAAGAACAACAAAACAGGTGGGTAGAACACTTCAAAGAACTCTTGAATCGACCAGCTCCACTGAACCCACCCAACATCGAAGCAGCACCCACGGACCTCCCAATCAATGTTGGCCCACCAACAATTGAAGAAATCAGCATGGCCATCAGACAAATCAAGAGTGGCAAAGCAGCAGGACCGGACAACATTCCAGCAGAGGCACTAAAAGCAGACGTAGCGGCAACTGCAAGGATACTCCACATTCTCTTCAATAAGATTTGGGATGAGGAACAAGTACCAAGAGACTGGAAAGAAGGACTTCTGATCAAAATACCGAAGAAAGGCGATCTCAGCAAGTGTGATAACTACAGGGGCATCACTCTTCTCTCAATACCGGGAAAAGTCTTCAACAGGGTATTGTTAAACAGGATGAAGGACTGCGTAGACGCCCAACTTCGTGACCAACAGGCAGGATTCCGTAAGGATAGATCGTGTACAGACCAAATCGCAACTCTACGGATCATTGTGGAACAATCAATTGAATGGAATTCATCACTCTACATCAACTTCATTGACTACGAAAAGGCATTTGATAGCGTGGACAGAACAACACTATGGAAACTTCTTCGACACTACGGCGTGCCTCAGAAGATAGTCAATATCATACAGAATTCATATGATGGATTACACTGCAAAATTGTGCATGGAGGACAGTTGACAAAGTCGTTCGAAGTGAAGACCGGTGTTAGGCAAGGTTGCTTACTCTCACCCTTTCTCTTTCTCCTGGTGATCGACTGGATCATGAAGACGTCAACGTCTGAAGGGAAGCACGGGATACAATGGACATCTAGGATGCAGTTGGACGATCTAGACTTCGCAGATGATCTGGCCCTTCTATCCCAAACGCAACAACAAATGCAGGAGAAGACAAACAGTGTGGCAGCAGCCTCAGCAGCAGTAGGTCTCAATATACACAAAGGGAAAAGCAGGATTCTCCGATACAACACAGCATGCACCAATCCAATCACAATTGACGGAGAAGATTTGGAAGATGTAAAAACCTTTACGTATTTGGGCAGCATCATTGATGAACAGGGTGGATCTGATGCAGATGTGAAGGCGCGGATCGGCAAAGCAAGAGCAGCATATTTACAACTGAGGAACATCTGGAATTCAAAGCAACTGTCAACCAACACCAAGGTCAGGATTTTCAATACAAATGTCAAGACAGTTCTACTGTATGGGGCAGAAACCTGGAGAACTACGAAAGCCATCATCCAGAAAATACAGGTGTTTATTAACAGTTGTCTACGCAAAATACTTCAGATCCGTTGGCCGGACACTATTAGCAACAACGTACTGTGGGAGAGAACAAACCAGATCCCAGCGGAGGAAGAAATCAGGAAGAAGCGCTGGAAGTGGATAGGACACACATTGAGGAAAGCACCCAACTGCGTCACAAGACAAGCCCTCACATGGAATCCTCAACTCCAAAGGAAAAGAGGAAGACCAAAGAACACATTACGCCGAGAAATGGAAATAGACATGAGAAAAATGAACAAGAATTGGATGGAACTAGAAAAGAAGGCCCAGGACAGAGTGGGTTGGAGAATGCTGGTCAGCGGCCTATGCTCCATTGGGAGTAACAGGCGTAAGTAAGTTTTAAGGAAATTATATATTCTGATCGAATCAAGATTAGTGCATAGAATAAAAACACATTGTTTAAAAAATTCATATTTGACAATGGGAATAATAGAACTCGGTAAAATCTAGTACTTAAATCCTATTTCAGTTTCACTTTGAAATAAAATGTTTGGTTGGAAACTACTTTAAGTCATTAACTATTCTCTTCTAGAATACGATTACTAAGTATTTTATCCGAGTTGACCAAACTCGTCATTTTATCAGATAGTCGTTTTTATGGCATCTGAAACCCCTCATCATTGGTCTCCTTGATGTCCAATCTATTAGACTTCCAAATATTTTCATCTTAGAGGATGGGGAAGATAGGAAGAAGTTACATCTCTATTATGAATTACTTCAAGATACTTATTCTGTATACAATTTTCATACTATTAATATATCATATTTAGTATAAGAATACACTTATATTGATGAGGATAATAATGAATAGTAATATTGTAAAATGATTTTATTCATCATTTATTTTATTTATTGGGAGACCAGTACAAATACATTAACATAACTGGATCAATGTTAGTTTCATTCTGAATAGCAACACTGGATTTTGTTTTTATGATTTCAATTTTTCCATAATATTATCAATAAACATTGAATTCAGATTAGTGAATTATTCAATTTAATGATAATCAGATTAAATATCTTAGATGAAAAATAAAAGGTTCTCTTTTAAAATGCGATTATACACCTGTTTATTATCTTACTTTTTAAATAAATAAATTTATATCTTCTGGTAAGACGAGGCGCCCATGTATTAGAATCCATACATGCAAGCAAAGATATGTAAGCTGTATAACAGTTTATTTAACAAATATACCATTTGACGAACAAATTGTTAGAACTGACCTAATAGTCATTAACTTATATTCTTAGAGATGTTTCTAATAACAATGTTGTACAGAGTCAAATCTTCTGGGTAAAAAAACATTTCATCACATTCCAGGTGGTTTATTTATTTAATGTATGTGCATATGTATTTAGTTATAGGTGTTCTTTTTTCTTTTTACTTGTACTATAAAAGAAACTTGTTGAAATACTTTGTGCTGAGAATTTTATATTGTACTAAACATATAATTCTGAATAAAGCAACTATTAATAAATGAACATTGAATAGTAATATCCAGATAAAGACACATGGAGCAAACGAATAAAGTTTGAAATAAAGTGTACATTATGGTAAAAATCAAATTTCAAAGTCAAAGAGATTATAGATTGTGACTTTGATAATGGTTGATAGTTATTTCGAGTTCCATATGATGTTCAACTGTATGAATGCTGTCCTTACTTTGACAATCCCTGCCTTTGCATCTGCATCGGATCCTCCTTGTTTATCGATGGTACGTGAAAATTTCCACCTCTTCCTTATCTTCCCCACCAAGTGTTATTCGGTCGATGTTCTCCGTGTTGTACTTGAGAATGTTGCTCTTTCCCTTGTGTATGTTGAGTTCTACTGATACAAAGACTGCTGCTACACTAGTTGTCTTCATCTGTGTTTGTTGACGTGTATGGGATAGAAGGTACAGGTCATCTGCGAAGTCCAAATCTTCTCATTGACTCCGAGCTGTCCATTGTATTCTGTGCTTCCGTTCAGATGTCGAGGTCGTCATAATCCAATCAGCCACTAGTAGAAAGGAAAAGGGCGAGAGTGAACAGTCTTGTCTGACTTTGGTCCTTACTTGGAATGCGATTATCAGCTGTCTTCCATATACGACTTTGTAGTGTGGTACGTCGTATGAATTTCGTGTGATGTCGACGATCTTCTCAGGTACATCATAGTGTCGAAGAAGTTTCCGTAAGGTTCTCTTATCCATACTGTCAAACACCTCACAGTCAAGGAAGTTGATGTATGGTGGTGAGTCCCATTCAATTGATTGTCTAACGATGATCTGTGGTGTCGCGATTCGGTCTGTGCACGACCGGCCCTTACAGAATCTGGTTATTGATCTAGAAGTTGGGTGTCTACTGAATCTTTCATCAGTTTCAGCAACACTCTGTGGAAAACTTTCCTTGGCATCGATAGTAGTGCGATATCTCTGTAGCTGAGTTCTCACATTCGCTCAGATCTCCTTTCTTTGGTATCTTTCTTTTCAATCTGTCAGTGGCATTTGCTCTTCCTCCCAAATCTTCCTGAATAGAGTGTGAATCATATTTGTGGTTACCCATATGTCTGACTTCAGAGCTTCAGCTGATATATTTCCAGGTCCTGCTGCTTTCCCACTCTTGATTTGTTTGATGATCTGATGAACATTTATGGGAAGGCCTGTATGTGCTGCTTCGATGTTCGGTGGATTTAATGAAGCTGGTCTATTCAAGAGTTCCTCGAAGCGTTCTAGCAATCTGTTCCTCTGTTCTCGAATCTCACTGATTGTCTTGCCTTCTTCTTTTCCTTGACCGATCTCTCTGGTTTACTATATTTGCGTGCTAGTTTATTCATTGTGTCATATAGTTGTTAGATATTTCCTCCGATTGCAGCTGTTTCCAATGTCGTTGCTAGGTCTTCCACATATTTCTGTTTGTCAGCTCTAATGCTCATTTTCGCTCTCTCATTTGCTTCTGTGAATTCAGGTTGTGCCTTGACTTTCTCTGTTCATGTTCGACTGTGGTTAATCGCTGTCTTTTTGCTCTTCCATTCTTAAATCTTACCCAGGGTTTCATAGAGCTCCATTCCTTATGATAATGATTCATTCGGCCCAGAACCTCCTGACGTGTTAACGTTAGTGCTTTGTTGATCCCTTTGTAACTGTCCTCAATAATGGCTCATTCGTCTTTGAGTAGATCCTGTAAGACTTGGAACCTGATGTTGAGAATAATCTTGAATTCGCTGAGTTTGTTAGGACCTCGTAGGAAGACTGTGTTGAACCTTTGTAATGCTGTTTCCCCAGTTGTCCATTGCTTCTTTAGCTTCAGTTTCATTTTGGCAACTACAACCAGGTGGTGATCTGAAGCTATGTCAGCTTCTCCCCTGGTTCTCACGTCTTCCGTTTCCCTTCTGAATTTTTACTGATGCAAATATCTTCGATCTGATTGTGTTCAGTGTGACCTGGTGAGACCCGTGTAGCTTTGTTTATGTGTTTGTGTGGAAATATTGCGGTGTTTATTAGCGATTTGTTAGATGCACATAAATTTGCAAATTTGTTACGGTTCTCGTTCCTTTCTCCCAACCAGTCCGTGTCGTCCCATGATATCTTGATACCCGGTGTTTTCCGTTCCAACTTTGGCGTTTAGATCTCTCATCAGGATGGTCATATCGTTTCCTCAGCACTCCGTCATGATGGAATGCAGTCTCTCATGAAACTGAGTTTTATCGTGGTCCTTGCTATCATTGTTACGTGCATAACACTGGGTAACATTCATTATGATTCCCTCCTTATTTGTTTTGAAAGATGCTTTGATGATCCTGAGTCTATGAGGTCCCCACTGTATAAGTGCATTACTTGCTTCTTTGGATGGCATCAGAGCAACTGCCTGAGTGTGTGGAGCATTTTCCTCCTCGTGACCAGAATACAGCAGCATCTCTATCGTACCTAACTTTGCTGTCCTGCTTGGGTCCAATGGGTTTCACTTGGTTCCAAGAACCGCTACGTTGCATATCCATATTTCCGTTGCTATTTGACTAGTCCTCCCGGTCTCTCACATTGTCAGGATGTTTCATGTACCAATATTAACTGTTGCTGTGGTTGTTAGAAGGTCATCTTCCCCTTGACTTCTGAAGAATCTCGGCGTTTCACTATGAGGCGTCATAATTTTTGTAAATGAAGATCCTTCAACTCGTAGTTCGAAGTTTAGACAGTTTAATTTGTTTATTCTGTTTGGCGTCGTTTAGCAAGGTTGCTTTCTACGGGATGGGGTTACTGACCTGATGCACAACCCTCCTCCTTTACTCGCTTTTGGGACCGGTAGTAGCCTTAAAAGAGCGACAGATGGAGTTAGGTTAAATTTTGTGATATAGTTTAGATATAGCGTCAAGTTTTATTGCTTTTTCATTTTAGAGGTATTGAATTTAATTATAGCATGTAAAAACTGCCGATTTACAACCAATCCCTATCTAAAGCAAAATCACTTAAACAGTTTTTTTAACCTTACATTATGAATATTCTTCTAACCATGTGGAATTACATTATACTATATAAGAAAAATAAGTTCTTTTCATGAATCAAAAGAATTGTTGTTAGAAAATTGAAAACAAGAAAGAATCTTGAGTTTTAAAATACTAAAATAAGTCAATCTAATCTTATTAATGATTATCAAAGTGAATAGTACCCCATATTCATAATATCCATTTGATAACCTTTTAATAAATAATGTTAAATCTAGTGTATAATAATGTTTCAGCCAACAAAACCTTCATTAGTTTACCAATTCTTGCATTGTTATTTCATTTATAGATGTAAAGAAAAAAAGTTATTATTTTCTTTTAAAAACTTCATTAATTTAAACCCCTGGATCATGTCGAACTATTTCTATGTAAACTAAATATTAATGAACAGTTGTTTCTTTATTGTCCTTTTTTCTCCAATCTCATCTTTGTTTCTTGTCAATTAAGTTTGTGTTAAATTGATCATTTAATAATTTGATAATGATTGTTTATTTATAAATGTTTGAATCTATTCAGTGTTAATGTTAAAGAGTGAATTTTGATCAGTATATATATATATATATATATATATATATATATATATATATATTTGGTTAACATTTCTACACACCAGCGCAGATTGTTTTGATTTTGTCATTAGGTCGCAAGTATTTTTATGAGAAATGGATTAAAGTTAGCAGTGGAATCTATAATATATGTTTTTATTGGATTTAGAATTCATCACCTAGTCGTATCTGAACTGTTTACTTCGGGACTCGAACTCAGTATCTTTTATTTTAAAAGTTCAACGTGTTATCCACTAGGTCACTCAGTCTGGATAGTTACTAATTTACATTGTGAGGATGAATTTTACTGCTTATTCATGATAACAATTATTTTGTTAAACTTATTTGTTTTTATCTAAAATAACTCAATTGTTTACATATATAATAAATGTAAATAACAAAATATGTTATCATTAATGTTTACTGTTATTATTATAGAGGGATGAAGTTGAATGAAGATGAACAAGTTGCAGTTGTCACATTAACTACATCATCGTCAGCATCACTGAAAAGAAATATTGGCAAAATGTCTAATACAAACAGAAAAATGTGTTGTACATAATCTATGAGCGTTTACATACACAAATATTCACATATTGTAATATTTATTCAGTTGTATATTTCAATGAATAACAAAAAAACAAACCCCACAGAATTCCAATGACATTGATGAGAAAGAAAAAAAGGGGTTGGTGTTGATGATTATAACAAATAATAATAATAATAATAATAATAATAATAATAATAAAAATAATAAAAACTAGAATCACCTAAGAGTAACCAGAATTTATTAGATACAAAGTTATTTGTCTATTTCTCACATGATTGGCTGAACTATGTAATTAAATTATTAAATTAATTTCTCATTCTCCTTATATCTATCGCGTATACGCCCTTATACAAATAAATGAAACAACAAGGATACTCATTAAAACGAATGTGCCTAATGTGAATCATTTTCTTTAAATATTTTATGCTTATTTCATGCATCATTGCGTTCTCTGTCCAGTCATCAATAAACAGTATGGTATTACATTGGTCTCAAGTTTTGATTATTTGCTATTTCCTATTTGGAAACTGTAATTTTTCAACACACACACACACACGTACACAAAATGTGTCATCATAGATTGAGTTTATAAAAGACAATGCATAGGCAGTAATAATATCAATATCCACATAATTGATTTTTATCCTAAATGAGAACAATCAATTGAATTTCATTGTTTCTTCCTATATTTATTTTGTTATGATTATGACAAATTATATTGATCTTTTTAATGTTTCCGTGACCTGACAACATTAAATCTGGAATTTATCTTCATTTTTCATTCAAACGACACATCTATTATTTTATTTATTGTTATGGTTATTGTTGGAATTACAAGTCTAATGTAAATGAGACAAATTCACGACAGTTGCTTAGTTACTCTGATGTATTTATGAATTCATGGAGAAGTAGAAAATGTTTGCTCTAAATATTTCATATTAAATACACTTTCTGAGTTTAAGTTGTAAGAAATTAGTACAATACAGTGACAACTAAATATTATTTGGATTATCATACGGTAAAAACAGTAGCTGAAATAAGTGTAGCGATATTTACATTCTTGTTACACTGTAACTATACGATACCAGGATATTTGTTAGAGATTTGATTGTATTACAGGATGAGCCTCATGAATTGGAAGAAATATGGTATCATGACAGTTCTAATTTCTTGAATCTACACAGTGCTCAGATAATGTTAACATCTATGTAAAAGATAAGCACCACTAACATGAAGCATTTAGAATATAACTATCATTAGTTTAGTCCATTCTCTGGTTAATAAGCAATCAGAACACATTTATAATGGTTCATAACAGTGAAAATTACCTGTCGCAGTTTCAGTTCTATATCAGAAAGGATGTGATGAATTAAAGCATAACACTAATCATAACATTCAGTCAAGTAGTCATGAGTTTTAAAATGATCTGTTACTGATCCAGCCTCATACTGTAGAAACATGTTTGCCTACAACTTTTGGGAAGGATATATTTGAATAAGTTCAATAGAGTGATAAATTATCATCGGTGAGATTGTGCTAAAATTATGGTGGAAATAATCATAAAATCATGCATTCCTAACCCTGCTTATTATCGAGTCCAGGAACTTCAGGGTTTTTTACAGTACTGTCTAAGCCTTAAATCACCGAGTCGGGAAATAGTGGTTTACATCCCTAACTTTAACCAACCCACAATACTGTGCAACTAGTTTTCATTGTCTTTGGTGAGTAGCTACCTCATATCTAACATGTTTGAGCTCCATTGTTCACGAGTTTTCAATAAGACATTTGGAGTTACCTCATGAAATTAGTTACTAATGCGTACATTGTATAATAGTCAATTCGGTAAGAACGAAATTCTTGAAACTGAAGAATAGTCAGCTATACTAAAAAAATAATTGATGGACTAACTGAACCGTTCAAAGTTTATGAACACTAAGTCACTATTATTAAAGTGGTATGGTAAACAAAAAAAATTTGAAGTGTAAGCTGTGATTCACCTGTTCAAAGTGTGGAGAAGAGTATATGAGTACACTTGTCAATCTATCTTCAGTGTAATGCAAAAAATTAAAAGATTACAGCAAACTTATAATATGCTGACTACAATAAATAGGTTTAGTTGTAATGAAAAAAATCAATGGACAATAATTAATGATTTGGAATATGATAAAAACTGGAAAAAAAGAGTCTACAAATGAAATCAAAAAGATTTCCAGTCTGTAATGCCTAGACAGTCAGTAACAAAATGTAAAATATCATTTACTCTGCTAGTGAAAATAAGTGAGACAAACGAAGCATAAATCATGAAAGAGTTGACTTAATGTGGTTTATAAAGTTCAACTATCCACATAAATATAATGATGATGATAATATGAAATCAGTATTTATGTTATGTGGAACTGCCAATTAGATGAATATGTCTGTTTTGTAACCATGGTGAAAGTATGAATCGAACAAGCAACTGAATGTGATACATTTAGTTATACAATCTGTTTTCATTTTTTTCTGTTTGATGTGAACAATTCGTGATAATTGGTTTGAGATATTAGAGATGATCTCGGGAAATTAAAAAAGAGAAACTGAGATGAACAATTACTGTGATAATCTAACAGTAGTTTTTCTTAATTAGATAAAGATTATTTTGAATTTTTCAAAGACTTCAATGATTTCAGAAACTCTTGATGATTGAACAAAATATTTTGTAGGGAAAATGATTAAGTCTGTTTAATTTAATAACTAAATATAGTTTATCTCATGTATACTCTTTATATAGTCAAGTCGAATTACAGTATCAGAATGAAGTATAAGAACATTGGAATATTCAATGTATACATTCATATGTATTGACTATACAAGAATTTATGCTGTAATCTAATCATGGCACTAATATCTGATCTAACTTCACAGTATATTATATTTAATGTTAATTGGTTAATGTAGAATTAATTTGTATCTGCAGATTAAGGGAAATGATATCTTGAAATAGTTAAGGTAATTATAAAGATACAAGGGAAGAAAACATACTTAAAACAACTATGTAATCATGTGAAGTAAAACAGTAAATAGGTGCCATTAATAATAATAGTAATTATAATATTATTATTGTTATTACACACAGAAAGGAAGGATTAAGAAAACGTTTCAACACATGTTATCATATAATCCGGAGACTAGAAATTACGAATGTTCATAACAGAAATCTTTTTTTGAGAATGTATACTCTAAGGAAACTGAAGTTTCTTATCTATTAATTATTTTGAATCCACTTGACACAAAAATACGATATCATATACCGGTAGAATAGTGAGTTATTGTCATTCTGTATGAGGTTCAACGCGTAAAGTTAGTTAGAAGTTAGAAGTATGTTTATTTATTAAGTGAATACGTTTACTTTCTCAAGAGTATTTGAAGTTAACAAGAACGAAAAGTATGTTCTTTGTAACCTTGTATAAAAATAAGATCTACGTTTAAATAATTTTCGAACACAATACTTAGGTGAAGTTCTCTTCATTCTGTTTTAAGATAGTACTTTTCAGTTTAGATTGATATCACGGATGGATCAATGTTAGACCACCTTCGAAACCTGAAAGCGATGGACGGTGATGTTGTCCTAGTGTGGGACTCGTCAGCAGCGTGCATCTACGATCCTGCAAGCGGGACTCAAGCCCAGAACCTTCGGTCTAGCGCGCGAACGTCTAGACTACTGAGCCGGCGTTCAACGGTGTCAATGTCCAACTTCAACCAATCCATGATATTGTTCGACTGTCCACTATTGTCTTCACTGAGTCCTTTTTAGTTGAACATTTTTCAAAGTAGTATTTTTCAAGAGTTTTCTTTAATCTTTCAATCAAATGATTTCTTACAAACTGATCTGTAACCAATTTTTAATGGCGGTTTGTTGTATGATAAAAACCATTTTTTTTAATTCAGTAAGCTCTAAACAAAAAATACATTCGAGCTGTTTTGACTCTATGTAATCTTCTGAATTTTGTAACTAAGTTTGGTAAATTTCACTTACTGTAAAATACGTTAGTAACTTATATGAGTGCTCTAAAGTTTCAATCTAAAGTAACATATTCTGGGATAAGGCTTTTTTAAAGAAAAATAAAATTACTAGCTTTGTCTCAGGACTAGAAGAGTTATATCTAGTTAGATGTGATCTTTTAGAAACCGTTAACAAAGATCGTGCATAAATCCATCATCAGTATCAAGCCGTACATTTAACTATGATATTAGCTTTTTACTAAAATATTGGATTGTACAGCACTGTTTAAAAAAAATTAACTTTGAGATGAGTACAGGAGAGTATGATACGTAAACAAACAGATTTTTTGAGACTGCAAATATTTCGTAAAAATCTATGGATGACACAGAACACGATCTATTTAATTAGTGATGTGGCCACATTCTGCAGTTTGAGCAATATATATGTACTTCTAGTAGCCTTGTATCGAATGGCACTTTGACGCTTAATCATAATTATCTATTTAAAGTTAAAAACTATCTCATTTACACTTTGATGAGAAAGTACGGATATATATGAATGTCTTCTCAGCGCTTTCTACTACTTTCCATTTGTTATTCATACATTTCATGTCTGCTTTCAATTCCCAACGCAGTGTGTTCTTTGGCCTTTCTCTTTTCTGTTTCCCTTCAAGATTACACTTTAACGCTCGCCTCGTGATGCATTTTGGTGATTTCCGTAGTGTATGTTCTATCCACTTCCGACGTCTTTTCCTAACTTCCTCTTCATTTGGAGGTTGGTTTATTCTCTCCAACATTAGTTTGTTGCTGATAGTTTCCAGTCAACACAGGGCATCAAGTATCTTGAGTAGACAGTTGTTAATAAATACTTGTACATTTTTATGATGTCTGTAGTAGTTCTTGAAATTTCATCTCCATATAGTAGAAATGTCCTGACGTTCGTATTGGAGATTGTAACTTTGACATTGGTTGACAGTTTTTTGAGTTCCATGCGTTCAACAACTGAGTTCTCAATATTAGTAGTGTAGCAG